CTCCCCTCCCATCTTCTCTCTCTACCCCATCTACTGTGATTCATTTCTCCCCCTTGTTTTTTTTTCCCCTTTCCCCTCACTTCCTCTTGTATGTACTTTTGTATAACCCTGAGGGTCTCCTTCCATTTCCATGCAATTTCCCTTCTCTCTCCCTTTCCCTCCCACCTCTCATCTCTGTTTAATGTTAATCTTCTTCTCATGCTCTTCCTCCCAACTCTGTTCTTAGTTACTCTCCTTATATCAAAGAAAACATTTGGCATTTGTTTTTTAGGGATTGGCTAGCTTCACTTAGCATAATCTGTTCTAATGCCATCCATTTCCCTGCAAATTCTATGATTTTGTCATTTTTTAATGCAGAGTAATACTCCATTGTGTATAACTGCCACATTTTTTTTATCCATTTGTCTATTGAAGGACATCTAGGTTGGTTCCACAGTCTAGCTATTGTGAATTGTGCTGCTATGAACATCGATGTAGCAGTGTCCCTGTAGCATGCTGTTTTTAGGTCTTTAGGGAATAGACCGAGAAGGGGAATAGCTGGGTCAAATGGTGGCTCCATTCCCAGCTTTCCAAGAAATCTCCATACTGCTTTCCAAATTGGCTGCACCAATTTGCAGTCCCACCAGCAATGTACAAGTGTACCCTTTTCCCCACATCCTCGCCAGCACTTGTTGTTGTTTGACTTCATAATGGCTGCCAATCTAACTGGAGTGAGATGGTATCTTAGGGTGGTTTTGATTTGCATTTCTCTGACTGCTAGAGATGGTGAGCATTTTTTCATGTACTTATTGATTGACAACAATGGTGCTGGGAAAACTGGAAATACATATGCAACAAAATGAAGCTGAACCCCTTTCTTTCGCCATGCACAAAAGTTAACTCAAAATAGATCAAAGAGCTTGATATCAAATCAGAGACTCTGCGTCTGATAGAAGAAAAAGTTGGCTCCGATCTACATATTGTGGGGTCGGGCTCCAAATTCCTTAATAGGACACCCATAGCCCAAGAGTTAATAACAAGAATAAACAAATGGGACTTACTCAAACTAAAGAGTTTTTTCTCAGCTAAAGAAACAATAAGAGAGGTAAATAGAGAGCCTACATCCTGGGAACAAATCTTTACTCCTCACACTTCAGATAGAGCCCTAATATCCAGAGTATACAAAGAACTCAAAAAATTAGACAGTAAGAGAACAAACAACCCAATCAACAAATGGGCCAAGGACCTGAACAGACACTTCTCAGAGGAGGACATACAATCAATCAACAAGTACATGAAAAAATGCTCACCATCTCTACATGGATGTACACTGCTACATGGATGTTCATAGCAGCACAATTCACAATAGCAAGACTGTGGAACCAACCTAGATGCCCTTCAATAGATGAATGGATAAAAAAAATGTGGCATTTATACACAATGGAGTATTACTCTGCATTAAAAAATGACAAAATCATAGAATTTACAGGGAAATGGATGGCATTAGAGCAGATTATGCTAAGTGAAACTAGCCAATCCCTAAAAAACAAATGCCAAATGTCTTCTTTGATATAAGGAGAGTAACTAAGAACAGAGTAGGGTCGAAGAGCATGAGAAGAAGATTAACATTAAATAGGGATGAGAGGTGGGAGGGAAAGGGAGAGAGAATGGAAATTACATGGAAATGGAAGGAGACCCTCAGGGTTATACAAAAGTACATACAAGAGGAAGTGAGGGGAAAGGGAAAAATAATACAAGGGGGACAAATGAATGTCAGTAGAGGGGGCAGAGAGAGAAGAGGCGAGGGGAGGGGAGGGGAGGGGGATAGTAGAGGATAGGAAAGGCAGCAGAACACAACAGACACTAGTATGGCAATATGTAAATCAATGGATGTGTAACTGATGTGATTCTGCAATCTGTATTTGGGGTAAAAATGGGAGCTCATAACCCACTTGAATCAAAGTGTGAAATATGATATATCAAGAATTATGTAATGTTTTGAACAGCCAACAATAAAAAATTAAAAAAAAAATTATATGTATTCAAAAAAAAAAAAAGAGAAACAATAAGAGAAGTAAATAGGGAGCCTACATCCTGGGAACAAATTTTTACTCCTCACACTTCAGATAGAGCCCTAATTTCCAGAATATACAAAGAACTCAAAAAATTAAACAATAAGATAACAAATAACCCAATCAACAAATGGGCCAAGGACCTGAACAGACACTTCTCAGAGGAGGACATACAATCAATCTATAATGCTTCTTTTTAATAAGTTTCCGTTGCTCTGAAGTCTGCTGTATCTGAAATTAATTTAACTATATTAACTTTCATTATTGTTAATGTGTGTAACTTTCTATATTCCTTTTCCATGTGTCTATCTTTATAGATGAGTTTTTTTATAGACAATGTAAATTTAATCCACTGAGGCACCTTTCTTTTAATTGGTAAATTTAGACAATTGACATTTAAAGTGATTAGTGCTGTAGTTGAATTAACATTAAACATTTGTGATGTGCTATCATCATTCATTGTCCCCCTCTTTGAAGGGGTTTGGTTTCCCACTCTTTTTCTGCCTTTCATGTTTTTTTCTTCCTTTTATGTTTTTAATAGAACATTGTACATAATTCCATTTTTCTCTCCTCTAATTTTTCACTTTTTTAAACATTTGCCCTAAGGTTTGCAATATACGTTTACAAATAATCAGGATTCTTAAAACACGGCTATCATGTATTTCACTTATCCACTATCACCTAATATATTGTTTCTATTATTATTTTTAACAAACTTTTAACATACAATTTATCTTGGAGAAAAAAAATTTAGAACATAAGTTTACATATACTCTATGTATAAGTTTTGTAACCATTAAATTAAATTATTAAGAATATGGAAAAGCAATTGGTATTAACTTCAAATGATTATGAACAAATATACTATAAAGTAATATAAACTTCCTATTTTAAAAAATGATCTGTTAGATCATTTACAATAAGAAAAAATATTTTATCTTTATTTATTCCTTCTCTAAGGAATTTTCTTTTATTTGGTTTTCTTTTATTTGGTTCCCTGTTTTTGACCTATGTCAGTTTATAGTGGGTAGAAAATAGCCCATGCATATAATTTATAAATATATTTGTAGTAGGTTGAATACTCAAAAGTTAGTTCATTTGTGGGGTGTATAGTCAAAAGGTTTACAGAGCAGATCATACACCACAATGCAGTCTGGTTCTTAAGTGTGGTGCACCCTATCTCTGCCCTGTGGCCCTGCCTATGTGTTGTACACTGTTGTTTTCCATTTATCGCTGTGTCATGAACTGTGTCACGTTGAGCTTCATCATCTCTAGAAGTTACAAGTCTATTTTATGCCATCATGCTTTTGTTGTACTGCTGCTTCTGCCTGGAATTCCCCTGTGACTACCTTCTCTTCTGTCCCTCGCCTCCCCTTCCAGCCAGCTCCGATTCATCCTTCATTCCTGTCTGAGAGAACCTCCATGGTTCTCCTCTGTCCTTCTCAAATAGGTCTTCATGCTCACCTCCTCCTCTCACCATGCAGTGCTCCTTTAACTCATTCCCTGACTATTGATTGAGCACCAACTGTGCCCACTGTTCCAGGCTGGGGACATGCAGCATGGGCTGTTCACCTCTCTGCCTCCACCGCTGTGAGTCCATAGAGACAAAGACTCTTCCTTCCTTTCCTCCACCAGCCAGCAGCTTTGTTGACATTGGGCATAAGTGAATGAACCCAGGACTGGGGATGCTGGGCCACTGATACCTCCTTCAACACAAGGATCTTCTTGTTATGAAAAATGGATGGGAAATTATGTTGTGCTATTGTGGATGAATCTGATTTGTTGTGCAATTTATTTTCACTCATGAAATCCAATCATTCATTTGTACTAAGTGTATATTTCTGTATATTTTATATATGTTTATATAAATGCATTAAATCCAAAAAATAGAATTGTAATGAGCACCTACATTTAGTCTAGAACCATTCTTTTTGCTGTGCTTGTAAATCTTGGCCTGATTTAATGACTTAGAAATAAGCATTCAAATCAAATATTTTGGATCTGCTTTGGTTTATGTTGGAATATATAGGGCTTAAAAAAGTTATTTTTGGATGAGGAATAATTCAGTTTGCCAGTTATGTTGTCCTGAATTTGAAAACATAACAATTATAAAACAAATACATTAAAATGTGATTGTTTATATTCCAGGCATATTTTTTTTCAAAACAAATATTTTACCAGTGAGAATTTTAAATTTTCTTAGTGTGAATCAGGATTTTATTTGTTTAATATTTATATGCTATGCCATATTTTTTTAGAATGTAATATATTTTATAAAGTTTATCATTATAATTGAAACTGGTCATGTTTGTGTATGAGTATGTATAAAAGAATATGTACAGTGTAGGTGATTGAGACAGACTCCTAATTAGGTCAGTGAAAGATTGAAACTGAAAAGGATCAAGATTGGGGAATGAAATGTCTACCTTAATTACTGTATTCCTAATAATATTAATAATAACTGGACTGTCATCTGAATATCCCTGAAATGATAGAAATAAAATAGTTCCTCAGTGTTTGCTGGGGATTGGTTCCAGTATTCTTGCAGATATGGAAAATCTAGGATACATAAGTCCCGTATATAAAATGACATAGTATTTGCATAAAACCTATGCATATTCTCTGGGAGACTTTAAATCATCTTTTGCTTATAATAGCTAGTACAATATAAATGCTCTGTAAATAGTTATCCTGAATTGTTTAGGGAACAGTGACAAGAAAAAATATTTGTACAAGTACATCAGAAACACAACTTTTCTGAGTATTTTCTGTTGAGGTTGTTTGAATCCTTGGATGTGGAACCCAAGGATACTGAGGACCAATTGCATACCTTTATGTTTTGAATCCTTTTTTAGCCATTATGGTCCTAAGTATTGAATGAAAAGTTAACTGAACTTACCTTGAAAAATTGAAAAGTAAATGCTGTTAAACTTCTCTTCCTTCTCTTAGGTACAATATCGAGCCCAGTTTATACTGTCCATTTTTTTCCCTTGGAGCTTGCATGGAAGGCCTGAATATTTTGTTTAACAAGCTGTTGGGCATTTCGTTATATGCAGAGCAGCCTGCAAAAGGAGAGGTGTGGTGTGAAGATGTCCGAAAGCTGGTAAGCCTCCCACTTAATGTGCAGTCCCACAGCTATGCCCCTTTGGTTTTGGTAATCAAGTTGACAGAAGTTAGCTTCGTCCTAATGGAGGGTATCCCACCTTATTTCGGATTCATAAAATAATCCAGATACCATTTTTGATTTTGACACTCTATAGAGGTTCTAAACATATGGTAGCAGAATTAGTTCTCCAAAAAAATTTGAGTAATTTGATGGAAGGTTGAATCTTCATATCTGGATCTTCATATGTTTACAAATTCTAGCTATAGGAAGTTTTGTCATTACCACTTATTTACCTGCAGTGCAGTGTTTCTTTTGGTTGGTTCCAAAATCCATTGATACCCTTCTTTTCTTTCTAACTCCTTCCCATGTCATAGATGTTATCACTCCATCAGTACTAACTTTTATTACATGTTCTGATTTATTTGATTTCTTTGACAATAACTGAAGCCTGGAGTTTGTTCTTCTCCTGTTAAGGTCCACTTTATTTGAGGAGTGAATATTTTAAAATTTTTTCAGATTTTAAGGCTTTCTTGACTCAAACATTTGTCCCTGAAACTTTGTGTTGTTGTCCTTTTTTTTTTTTTTTCTCTTTTTTTTTGGGTTTATTTCACTTAGCATAATATTGTCAAGATTTATTCATTTAGCACACATTAAGTTTCCTTTTTAAGGCTGAATAACATTCCATTACATGTCTAACAAATTTTTATAGCAGTAGTTTTTTATAGCAGTAGTCCATCTGTTGATGGAGGTGGATTGCTTCTACTCTTTATTGTGAAAAATGATGTCATAAGCAGAGGTGTCCAAATATCTCTTTGAGGCTATGCTTTCAGTTCTTTTCAGTATATACCAAAGAATTGCAGAATCATATAATTCCATTTTCAGTGTTTTGAGGGACCATCATATTGTTTTCCACAGTGGCTGTCTGTTGTTGAGTGTTGTGAATTTGTTTGATCTAGTGATTTATTGGGTTGAGCCCTGTATTTCCTTCCTTATGTCTGGTGGTTGTAGCTATTTTTGAGAGTTGAATGATGAAGTCTTCAGCTATTATGGTAGGGCTGTCTCAATTTTGTTTTTGCTTGAGATATTGTGGTGGTCTGTTATTAGGTGCATTAGTAACATAGTTTTATCTTCTTGTTGTGTTGAATCTTTTTTTTTTTTAATTTTTTATTGTTGGTTGTTCAAAACATTACATAGTTCTTGATATATCATATTTCACCCTTTGATTCAAATGGGTTATGAGCTCCCATTTTTACCCCATATACAGATTGCAGAATCACATCAGTTACACATCCATTGATTTACATATTGCCATACTAGTGTCTGTTGTGTTCTGCTGCCTTTCCTATCCTCTACTATCCCCCCTCCCCTCCCCTCCCCTCCCCTCTTCTCTCTCTGCCCCCTCTACTGACATTCATTTGTCCCCCTTGTATTATTTTTCCTTTTCCCCTCACTTCCTCTTGTATGTACTTTTGTATAACTCTGAGGGTCTCCTTCCATTTCCATGTAATTTCCATTCTCTCTCCCTTTCCCTCCCACCTCTCATCCCTGTTTAATGTTAATCTTCTTCTCATGCTCTTCGACCCTACTCTGTTCTTAGTTACTCTCCTTATATCAAAGAAGACATTTGGCATTTGTTTTTTAGGGATTGGCTAGCTTCACTTAGCATAATCTGCTCTAATGCCATCCATTTCCCTGTAAATTCTATGATTTTGTCATTTTTTAATGCAGAGTAATACTCCATTGTGTATAAATGCCACATTTTTTTATCCATTCATCTATTGAAGGGCATCTAGGTTGGTTCCACAGTCTTGCTATTGTGAATTGTGCTGCTATGAACATCGATGTAGCAGTGTCCCTGTAGCATGCTGTTTTTAGGTCTTTAGGGAATAGACCGAGAAGGGGAATAGCTGGGTCAAATGGTGGCTCCATTCCCAGCTTTCCAAGAAATCTCCATACTGCTTTCCAAATTGGCTGCACCAATTTGCAGTCCCACCAGCAATGTACAAGTGTACCCTTTTCCCCACATCCTCGCCAGCACTTGTTGTTGTTTGACTTCATAATGGCTGCCAATCTAACTGGAGTGAGATGGTATCTTAGGGTGGTTTTGATTTGCATTTCTCTGACTGCTAGAGATGGTGAGCATTTTTTCATGTACTTGTTGATTGATTGTATGTCCTCCTCTGAGAAGTGTCTGTTCAGGTCCTTGGCCCATTTGTTGATTGGGTTGTTTGTTCTCTTATTGTCTAATTTTTTGAGTTCTTTGTATACTCTGGATATTAGGGCTCTATCTGAAGTGTGAGGAGTAAAGATTTGTTCCCAGGATGTAGGCTCTCTATTTACCTCTCTTATTGTTTCTTTAGCTGAGAAAAAACTCTTTAGTTTGAGTAAGTCCCATTTGTTCATTCTAGTTATTAACTTTTGTGCTATGGATTTCCTATTGAGGAATTTGGAGCCCGACCCCACAGTATGTAGATCGTAGCCAACTTTTTCTTCTATCAGACGGCGCGTCTCTGATTTGATATCAAGCTCCTTGATCCATTTTGAATTCACTTTTGTGCATGGCGAGAGAAAGGGATTCAGTTTCATTTTGTTGCATATGGATTTCCAGTTTTCCCAGCACCATTTGTTGAAGATGCTATCCTTCCTCCATTGCATGCTTTTAGCCCCTTTATCAAATATAAGATAGTTGTAGTTTTGTGGATTGGTTTCTGTGTCCTCTATTCTGTACCATTGGTCCACCCACCTGTTTTGGTACCAGTACCATGCTGATTTTGTTACTAATGCTCTGTATTATAGTTTGAAGTCTGGTATCGCTATACCGCCTGATTCACACTTCCTGCTTAGCATTGTTTTTGCTATTCTGGGTCTTTTATTTTTCCATATGAATTTCATGATTGCTTTCTCTATTTCTACAAGAAATGCTGTTGGGATTTTGATTGGCATTGCATTAAACCTATAGAGAACTTTTGGTAATATCGCCATTTTGATGATGTTAGTTCTGCCTATCCATGAACAGGGTATATTTTTCCATCTTCTAAGATCTTCTTCTATTTCTCTCTTTAGGGTTCTGTAGTTTTCATTGTATAAGTCTTTCACCTCTTTTGTTAGGTTGATTCCCAAGTATTTTATTTTTTTTGAAGATATTGTGAATTGAGTGGTTGTCCTCATTTCCATTTCAGAGGATTTGTCGCTGATATACAGGAATGCCTTTGATTTATGCGTGTTGATTTTATATCCTGCCACTTTGCTGAATTCATTTATTAGCTCTAATAGTTTCTTTGTAGAGCCTTTTGGGTCTGCTAGGTATAGAATCATGTCATCAGCAAATAGTGATAATTTAAGTTCTTCTTTTCCTATTTTTATGCCTTTAATTTCTTTCGTCTAATTGCTCTGGCCAGTGTTTCGAGAACTATGTTGAAGAGAAGTGGAGAGAGAGGGCATCCCTGTCTTGTTCCAGATTTTAGAGGGAATGCCTTCAGTTTTTCTCCATTCAGAATGATGCTAGCCTGAGGCTTAGCATAGATTGCTTTTACAATATTGAGGTATGTTCCTGTTATCCCTAGTTTTTCTAGAGTTTTGAACATAAAGGGATGCTGTACTTTGTCGAATGCTTTTTCCGCATCTATCGAGATGATCATATGGTTCTTATTTTTAAGTCTATTCATGTGGTGAATAACATTTATTGATTTCCGTATATTGAACCAGCCTTGCATCCCAGGGATGAATCCTACTTGATCATGGTGCACAATTTTTTTGATATGTTTTTGTATCCGATTCTCCAGAATTTTATTGAGGATTTTTGCATCTAGGTTCATTAGAGATATTGGTCTGTAGTTTTCTTTCTTTGAAGTGTCTTTGTCTGGTTTAGGTATCAGGGTGATGTTGGCCTCGTAGAATGAATTTGGAAGTTCTCCCTCTTTTTCTATTTCCTGAAGTAGCTTGAAAAGTATTGGTATTAGCTCCTCTTTAAAGGTTTTGTAAAACTCTGCTGTATACCCATCCGGTCCTGGGCTTTTCTTAGTTGGTAGTCTTTTGATGGTTTCTTCTATTTCCTCAATTGATATTGGTCTGTTTAGGTTGTGTATATCCTCCTGACTCAATCTGGGCAGATCATATGACTTAAGAAATTTATCTATGCCTTCACTATCTTCTAATGTATTGGACTATAAGGATTCAAAATAATTTTTTATTATCTTCTGTATTTCTGAAGTGTCTGTTGTGATATTGCCTTTTTCATTCCGTATGTTAGTAATTTGAGTTCTCTCTCTTCTTCTCTTTGCTAGCATGGCTAAGGGTCTGTCGATTTTGTTTATTTTTTCAAAGAACCAACTTTTAGTTTTGTCAATTTTTTCAATTGTTTCTTTTGTTTCGATTTCATTAATTTCAGCTCTGATTTTCATTATTTCTTGCCTTCTACTTCTTTTGCTGTTGTTTTGCTCTTCTTTTTCAAGGATTTTGAGATGAAGCATGAGATCATTTATTTGTTGGTTTTTTCTTTTTTTAAGGAATGAACTCCAAGCAATGAATTTTCCTCTTAGAACTGCTTTCAATGTGTCCCATAGATTCCGATATGTTGTGTCTGTGTTTTCATTTATCTCTAAGAATTTTTTAATTTCCTCCTTGATGTCTTCTATAACCCATTGATCATTCAGTAACCTATTGTTCATTCTCCAAGTGATGTATGCTTTTTCCTTCCTTCTTTTATGGTTGATTTTCCGTTTCATTCCATTATGATCAGATAAGATGCATGGTATTATCTCTACTCCTTTATATTGTCTAAGAGTTGCCCTGTGACATAATATGTGATCTATTTTTGAGAAGGATCCATGTGCTGCTGAGAAAAAAGTGTAACTGCTTGATGTTGGGTAGTATATTCTATATATGTCAATTAAGTCTAGGTTATTAATTGTGTTATTGAGTTCTATAGTTTCCTTATTCAACTTTTGTTTGGAAGATATGTCCATTGGTGAGAGAGGTGTGTTGAAGTCTCCCATGATTATTGTATGGTGGTCTATTAGACTCTTGAACTTGAGAAGAGTTTGTTTGATGAACATAGCTGCACCATTGTTACGGGCATATATATTTATGATTGTTATGTCTTGTTGGTGTATGGTTCCCTTGAGCAGTATGTAGTGTCCCTCTTTATCCCTTTTGATTAACTTGGGCTTGAAATCTATTTTATTTGATATGAGTATGGACACACCTGCTTGTTTCCGAAGTCCATATGAGTGATATGATTTTTCCCAACCTTTCACCTTCAGCCTATGTATGTCTTTTCCTATCAAATGAGTCTCCTGTAGGCATCATATTGTTGGGTCTTGTTTTGTGATCCATTCTACTAGCCTGTGTGTCTTAATTGGTGAGTTTAAGCCATTAACATTTAGGGTTATTATTGAGATATGGGTTGTTCTTCCAGCCATATTTGTTTATTTCTGTTACTAAACATGGTTTGTTTTCCTCTTTGATTATTTTTCCCCCCTTTACTGTCCTACCTCCCACTGTTGGTTTTCATTGTTATTTTCCATTTCCTCTTCCTGTAATGTTTTGCCAAGGATGTTTTGAAGAGATGGTTTTCTAGCTGCAAATTCTTTTAACTTTTGTTTATCGTGGAAGGTTTTAATTTCATCTTCCATCCTGAAGCTTAATTTCGCTGGAAACACAATTCTTGGTTGGAACCCATTTTCTTTCAGTGTTTGAAATATGTTATTCCAGGATCTTCTAGCTTTCAGAGTCTGTGTTGAAAGATCAGCTGTTATCCTGATTGGCTTACCCCTAAATGTAATCTGCTTCCTTTCTCTTGTAGCTTTTGAAATTCTCTCCTTATTCTGTATGTTGGGCATCTTCATTATAATGTGTCTAGGTGTGGGTCTCTTATGATTTTGCACATTCGGCGTCCTGTAGGCTTCTAGGATTTGGGATTCTGTCTCATTCTTCAGGTCTGGGAAGTTTTCTCGTATTATTTCATTGAATAGATTGCTCATTCCTTTGGTTTGAAACTCTGTCCCTTCCTGTATCCCAATGACTCTTAAATTTGGTCTCTTAATGTTATCCCATATTTCTTGGATGTTCTGCTCATGGTTTCTTAACAGTCTTGCTGAGCTGTCTATGTTCTTTTCAAGTTGAAATACTTTATCTTCATTGTCTGATGTTCTATCTTCTAAGTGTTCTACTCTGCTGGTAGTATTCTCCATTGAGTTTTTAAGTTGGTTTATTGCTTCCTGCATTTCTAGGATTTCTGTTTGTTTGTTTTTTATAACCTCTATCTCCCTGTATAGTTGATCTTTTGCTTCTTGGATTTGTTTATGTAATTCATTGTTGAAGTGATCTTTCATTGTCTGATTTTGCTGTCTGATGTCCTCCTTGATACTCCAGATCATCTGAAGCATGTATATCCTGAATTCTTTATCTGACATTCCATCTGCTGCAGCTATTACCTCTTCTAACGTTGAGTTGACCTGCATTGCTTGTGGTCCTTTCTTTCCTTGTCTCTTCATACTGTTCGCGTTCCTTTCTACTTGGTGAAACTGTTGTGCTATTGAATTTTCCCCCTATATATTTATATTGGTCTTGTATAGTTGCAAAGTCTCCCTCGCAGGCGTGGGCAGCGGCTCTGCCCCTCCTCCAATTGGGGCAATGTGCCTACCATGCCAGCAGGCCGCTGGGCCTGTTCTGCCGGTCGGTAGCAGGTCCGCCTACCTTGCAGGCGCGGGCGGCAGCTCTGTCCCTCTGCGGGCCGCTAGGCTTGTTCTGTCGGTGGTCGCAGTTCTGCCTACTTTGCAGGCGCAGGCAGCAGCACTGCCCCTCTGCAGGCCTCTGGGGCTGTTCTGCTAGTGGGTCGCAGGTCTGCCTACCTGGCAGGCACGGGGCGGGGGGCGTCTCTACCCTTCCTCAGGCCGCTGGGCCTGTTCTGTCTGTCAGTTGCAGGTCTGGCCTGTTCTGTTGGTGGTCACAGTTCCGTCTACCTTGCAGGCGCTTGGGGAGGGGGTGGCTCTGCCTCTCAGCAGGCCGCTGCGCCTGTTCTGCCGGTGGGTCGCAGGCCCGCCTACCTTGCAGGAGTGGTTGGCAGCTCTGCCCCTCTGCAGGCCACTGGGCCTTTTCTGTCCGTGGTCACAGTTCCGCCTACCTGGCAGGCGCGGGGTGTGGGGGGCGGCTCTGCCCCTCAGCAGGCCGCTGGGCCTATTCTGTGGGTGGTCACAGTTCCGTCTACCTTGCCGGCGCAGGGGGAGGGGGCGGCTCTGCCTCTCAGCAGGCCGCTGCTCCTGTTCTGCCGGTGGGTCGCAGGCCCGCCTACCTTGCAGGAGTGATTGGAAGCTCTGCCCCTCCGCGGGCCACTGGGCCTTTTCTGTTGGTGGTCACAGTTCCGCCTACCTGGCAGGCGCAGGGGGTGGGGGGCAGCTCTGCCCCTCAGCAGGCCGCTGGGCCTGTTCTGTGGGTGGTCACAGTTCCGTCTACCTTGCCGGCGCAGGGGGAGGGGGCGGCTCTGCCTCTCAGCAGGCCGCTGCTCCTGTTCTGCCGGTGGGTCGCAGACCCGCCTACCTTGCAGGAGTGGTTGGAAGCTCTGCCCTTCCGCGGGCCACTCTGTGTTGTTGTCTTATTCATTTTTGCCTGCATGCTTTCTCCTTGCACCTACTTCACTCTGTTCAGCAGCATGAGTTGTCTCTCTGGCTCTGGGCCATGTGTGCATGGATAGGTGTGACAGGGGGATTGAAAAAGAGAATTGATGGGACTAATCACTTTATCATGGAAGTTACTAAATATCCGTTTGTATTTCACTAACTTTCCAAAATGATCAAGACTGATAAAATGCAGAAATGTAATTAAAAAAAACAACAACAACTGGTAACCGAAGACTGAAAGGACAAAGTGCAAGCAATGAGGAGCTCTCACTGGTATTCCAGAACATGGGCTTACTGGGGCAGCACTGTGTGCTAGTTGTGTTCACTGCTGTATCCCAAATGCCTTAATCAAGTCCTGACCTAGTAGGTGCTTTGTGATGTTTGTTGAATGAATGAATACTTACTTGCAGGAAACTTTAAAGCACAAAATTGAGGTTTTCTCTAATAGGATTATCAAAGTCAGAACAAACAAAAGAAGGCGAGGTGGAGACAGTGCTGTGTCTTACCTTTAAACTGGGCCTCTTTTGTAAGGCTCTTTTTGGAGAGGGAATAAAAAAAATATTACTGATTTTTCAACTGAAGCTAAGAGCTGCATCTTCTTGTTTTTGATTCCAGGGATTATAATTCACTTGTACTTATGTAATTATATTCCAAGATGTAAAGGAAAAATAATTTTGCCACTAAAATTGTCCAGCCAACACTTCTTCCCAACTCATTAGGGTGGGTTGTAAAATCATCTCTGAAGAACAATGGTTGGTGCTAGTATTATAGAAGATGGGCAGTCAGAACAAAGGATTCCCATGAAAAGAATTTTCTCTCCTGGATAGAATTTTCAATTAAAACTATTTGAGAGATGGAGCAAAAGAGGATGAGGGAAGAGAGAGTCTACCTTGTGGTAATGTGGAATGTGGGAAGTGAAGTCAGTATTTGTGACTATGGACTTTTAATATATAGGCTCTTGTTTTAGAAATATTTTCCCACTTAGAGTTTCCGATGGGCTCATTCACCACTAAATTTAAAATTGTTTTCTAGGCTGTCGTCCACGAATCTGAAGGATTATTGGGATACATTTACTGTGATTTTTTCCAGCGAGCAGACAAACCACATCAGGTGATCTTTTCTTTACAGAGATTAGCAATTTACTTTTATTCATGTAAACTTTATGTATCATTTTTATAGTTTCATAATATTTAAAAGGCACTAATGATAGATACTAAATATATACATTTGAAAATAGGATAGTATTTGAAAACAATAAAGGTCATAGAAATAACTGCATAAATATGTGTCTGTCACTTTTATCTGGAACATGATATTAATGATAGTAATAATGATAGCTGCCATTTTATGTGCCCCTTTTTGTGCCAACCAATGCATGGAGCCTTTTTATATACATCCTATATCTATTAATGTTCTATCACATATCTATTAATGTTCAACCTTTTGAACTAGGCTCTAATATTATGAGGAAACTAAGTCCAGAAAGGTTATGTATTTACCTAGAGACTCACAGCTGAAAGTTCTAGGGTTTGAATCTAAACATTATGACTGGAGCCCCAGTTCTTAACTCATCTCCATGCTTGACAATGAACCTAATTCAAAATTTCAGAACATAGGTCCATGTGGAAACCTTACCTACCAATTAGCTCCTTGTATGGAAGATGTTAGGTTCATTTCTTTTCCTTTAGATCCTTACCAAATTTGCTGGCCAATCAGCTTTAGCAGTTTATGCAACTTGATGAGAGATGTCAAGAAATGAGATTATCAATTATAGAAATAATGGTACCTGACATTGAATAGTGATTCACAGTTACTAAGGGATTTCACAGATGTGAACTTAGGAAATCTGGATGACCACTTTGGGATGTGACAAGATACTCTTTACATTCCAGAGATAAGTGACACTTATAAAGGGAGATTACGTTCCAAGATGATTTGTCTAGTAGGTGTCAAAATGGGGACGAGAGTATAGGCTTTGAGTCCTGTGTACTTCCCCTTTGCCCAAATAGGTGATAGAAACTCCAGTTAGGTAATTAACAGCCCTGGCTCCTAGTAGTTAACCTGGATTCAGATCCAAGATACAGTGATTCTAACTGGGTGTTGTTGGACATATTATTTAACATTTACAAGACAAAATTTCAGTTTGCCCACTTGGAAAGTGACATAACTCCCTATGGGGTAGTTGTGAGGAATAAGTGATAGAGTGGGTGAATCTCAGTGTGGTCCCTGCTCCAGAGGGAGTTCCTTCAGATTTATTGCTTCAGGATCATTTAGGCCCCTCACTTCTGAGTGATACAAATAGCAGACATGGTAAGTACCCCCTAGTTCATTGTTTGACACGTAGTAGAGACTCAACATAAATATTAGTGTCCCTTCCCCAGTAGCTGTTGTTTGTCCCTTCCTAGTTACTTGAGAACACCTTGAGGGTGTGGATCTAGGATCTCTGTTGACTTGTTTCCTACATCTGGCACAGCATCAGTTCAGTGTGTATTTTTGCACTGGGTGAATGAATCAGTCAATACAAGCTCAATATATTGCCGGTGCTTTAAAGAATTAAAATTTTAGCAGAGTAAAAAATGTCAAGAAAAGGTATCTTTTTAAATATACAGAATAAAAATAGAATAAGTTTGAACTTACATCTCAGTGTAGTTTTATATTAATGAATATAATAGTATGATGACTCTCTTGCTCTTTAGATTGCCTAATACTTTCACCTCATCGTATGTTTTCTGATTCTCAAAGGATTGCCATTTTACAATTCGAGGAGGCAGGTTAAAAGAAGATGGAGACTATCAACTCCCAGTTGTAGTTCTTATGCTGAATCTTCCCCATTCCTCAAGGAACTCACCTACCTTATTAACTCCTGGAATGATGGAAAATCTTTTCCATGAAATGGGACATGCCATGCATTCTATGCTGGGACGAACTCGGTACCAACATGTCACTGGTGAGCTATGAAGAGAACTTTCATTTAATATAATTCTTTAAAAACTTGAATATTTTTCTTAGGAAAAAGGTTGTGCTGTTTGGAAAATGTGATCATTTAATAATGTTCTTTATCTTAGATTGCCCCATCTTATTAAATTTTTCACTTTATAAAAAATTGTAATTATAAGTTATCTTAATTGTGCAAAATACTGTGCTTTTTTTTACATTTCCATACATGCATACATACATAAATGCATATTGTCATACAGCCTGACCATTTTATGCTTTTTTTCATCCTTGCTAACAGCTCTCACCAGAGCATAAGTCTCCATTGCCTGTTTTTTGAATATGTATCTTTTTCCATTTTCTAATGTTTTACATGGAATTTATGTTTGTGGCTTTGTGAGTACCTTGTGTATGTGTGTGATAGAGAGAGAGGGAAAGAGAAATGCTTATGTATCTCCTTAGCACCTAGCACAAAGTTAGTGAATGAATAAGTAAATGAATGTTGCCTCTTTTATCTGTTAAAAATCAATGTAAGGCACGTTTAAAAAGCATGATAAAGTGCATTTCATTTTTCTTATACTATTATCCATTGTATAGAATGATAGTTCTGCTTTGTTAGTTTTTTATGTTGACATGTGACCATATTTAATGATATTCTAGACATTCCTCTTAGTTGTCTTATCTCTAATTCTTAAGCTCACTCCTGTAAATAGTCAGCATTTAACCACCTGGGAAATTGTTGGCACACATTACTTATTAACTAACTTTATACACACAGTATTGGGCAAGGAGAAGGTAGTTGGAAAGACTATATAGATAGACTGAACAGAATCATAAATTGTCACCAAAAAGTCCTTTCAGGATTTGTGGCTTTAAGTAATTTTGCGTTTAAAATATTGATTTTTCTTTACTAAGGAATGACTTTGTTACAAAAAGCAATAGATAGATTGAATAAAGTACTTTTAAAACAAATAAAGAATAAAAACATTAGGTAATGGAATTTAGTGAATTAAATACAAATGCTATATTAATTGTGAGAATGTTTTAATTTATATTTCAAGTATACCAGCATAGCAAAAGACAGGTTTGTTTGTAGAGGGTGTGAGCTGTTGCTTTATAAGGTGTTTCAGCAGCTGTGCAAATATTTGGTTATACTTTTGATATAAAGAAAAATATATAGGATTATAATAAACTTTTCTGCAAATATGTACAATAATTTTATAGAAGTATTGATTTAATGAATTAAAACTGATCATAGTTCATCAGAAATACAAATAAAAGTTTTAAAAGTAAGATAAATATGTTGATTTGACTTATACCAAATATTTTTCTTTCTTCCCATCTTAGGGACCAGGTGCCCCACTGATTTTGCTGAGGTTCCATCTATTCTGATGGAGTACTTTTCAAGTGATTATCGAGTGGTTAACCAGTTTGCCAGACATTATCAAACTGGGCAGGTAGGAACTACTAATTCAGCGCAAACATCCTTAATTCAAAAAGTCTAAATCCAAAATGCTCCAATATCCAAAACTTTTTTAGAGTTGACATGATGCCACAAATGGAAAATTTAACCCTTGAGCTCATGTGACCAGTCATAGTCAAAATGCAGGTGCACTAAAATGTATGTAGAATTACCTTCAATCTATGTATAAGTTAAGATGTTTGTGAAACAAATGAATTTTATGTTTAGATTTTGGCCTCATCCCCAAAATATCTCATATGGCATATGCAAATATCCCCAAATCTTAAAAAAAAACCCAAACTTGAAATACTCCTGGTCCCAGGTGTTTTAGATAAGGGGTAATACTCAGATGATATTGGTCATTTTGTCTTTAGGGTTTAGATGATTGACTTTTATGATAGTGATGATTGGCTGGATAATTTTGAATACTTGGTACTTTTTCAGAACTCTGTCACCCTCTCCTAGTACCAGATTCCTTTTATTTTTTTTAGGTTTTCTTATTGATTCCCTTTTCCTCCCCTTGGACTAGAGACTCATAGTCCTAGCATATGGTCATATGTAAAAACATAACTACCCCTTATTATATGCCAAGTTATCTACTATTTAGTTCACCACCCCATGAGGAAAGTTCTGTGTCCTGTTTTCCAAATAAGTATGTAGGAGTCTTCTTGGTAGAGCACTTGAGCCTGTCTTACTTCAAAGAGCCTTTGTTTCTAAATATTTGTTTCCATGGCCTCAGTTTTATGCTGTGCATATTTCCCAATATCCTTGCATATTTTTTTTATCTGTATAATGCTAAGTCTTAAAATCCCTTAATTTAAGGTTTAGAGTTCAATGGAGCATTGTAATTTTAAAGGTTTTTAAATTAAAATGGGAAATACCTTGTGGTAAGTTAGCTGTAGTATCAATGTTGCGCTGCTTGCATTAGAAAATATATTTCTTCTCTAACAACTTTGATTGCATAGTATTACATTAGCTGGGGTTTTCTCCCCTAATAATGTACCTCCCTGTTGCCAGAGTTAATTATATTCATCTTTGAGTCTCCAGGCCCTAGAGTTGCCTAGTCCAAAAAAGGGACCTAACCCACCTTTATTTGTGATTCTTGTTCTGATTATGTCTATAGATGCATTGTATGATTTGGTCATTTCTTTTTGTGGACTTGAGTCTATCTATCTATCATTTTCAACAATAGATAATGGATGGGTTTCTTGGTAATTAATCTGATCAAGTCTTTCTTATCATTTACTTCAGTTATTAAGATGGTAAGATTGAAATATTTGGGACTGGGGCTGTAGCTCAGAGGTGGAGTGCCTGCCTAGTGCCTGTGAGGCACAGGGTTTGATACTCAGCACCACATATAAATAAATAAAATAAAGGTATTGTGTTCACCTAGAACTAAAAAAAAATTTAAAAATGAAATATTTGTAATTTAATTAGCTATTTGTTCATCATAATGCAAAGAGGTGCTCTGAGGATTATGTAGACATGGCCAAATAGTATAGAAATGAAAACCCCACCAAATAGCTAACCTATCCATGGGGTTTAGCTACATATTTGGGGGCTTAGGAATGATTAGGAATTTTGTAATTGTTCCCTGTCTGAGGCCTGTTGGAGCATAGCTAGGTACACAGTGTGAGGTCATAGGGAGATCCTAGCTCAGACTGTCTGGGAGCATTAGGGAGAAGCTGGAGAAGGTGTGCTGAAGGAACAAGGTCTTGGAAAAGGACGTAGAAGAGGCAGTGTGCCAGCCAGCAATCAGTAGCCCTGATCCATGTCTGTCTTTTTTTTTTTTGTGTAATTTTTAATTTTGATTCAGGGTCCTGCTTAGATGCTGAGGGTCTCACTGTATTGCTGAGGTGGCCTTGGATTTGCAATCTTCTGCCTCTTCCTCCCAAATCTCTGAGATTACAGGTGTGCACCCTGTGCCTGACTGCCCTAATCCATTTCATCAAAGATATTTATTGATGACATAGTAAGAACACGAGATTCTCAGTCAGGAAATTCAAGTGGAGTTTATGTTTATGTTTAATACCAGTCTCTGTTGTCCATATCTGAGAAACAGCCATGAATAAGTAAGTCAGCATTCCAGGACTCATGCCTTTAATTCTTAGGGAAACAGGCAAAGCCAAATGCAGTGCATTTGTACCGATGGGAAAAGCCCCTGAGAAGCCTAGAGAAGTCTTCAAGAGGGCTTATGGTGAGGCAGAGGGTGTGGTTAGAGGAAAAGGAGGAGAGAAGCAGCCAGAAAAGGCCCAGGGATGGAGAGTAGGGCCATATGATGAAGGTTCAGATCCTAAACAAAAGTTTGAACTGTATCCTGTTGTTTATGTGTGGTGGGGGTGGTGGAGTGTGAATCATTAAAGGGTTGTAAGTAGAGAAGTGAGATTATCAGACTTTTTTGGAAAATGACCCTGGTATCTAGAAGGTATACAGATTGAGGAGAGATGAGCTTGGAGTCTGAGAGAAGCATTCCTCATGTCAGTGAGCTACCAAGGTTTCCTGAAGAATAGGGCTGGGACTATGTATGGTCCAGGGCTTAGACTGCCACTTCCCTCATGGTTCATGAGCTTGTGCACAAGTTGCACAGGGCACAGCCCTGGTCTCCGAGCCTACATATCTGGGGCTCTCTGTAACCCCTGCTATTGCCTGCCCTGCTCATCCCTAGAAGTTGTATCAGTCTTGGCACCCTTTTCCCCACGTACCTTTTAATCCCAGCCCATCTCCCAACACTGCCCCTCATTACTGGAGTGAGTTTCAGCATTGTTTTTACAGAACTTTGCTGTCTCACTTCCTCACTCCTCTGCCCCACCACCCATTTTCTCCTCAGCCTTTGGCAAACATCTTCCCTGGATTTCGTCTTTGAACCTGTGGCCTGGCTTGCTCTTTAGTGGTGAATGCAATGGCAATCAGGCGGTGATGAGGGCCACATTGTGCACTGCAATGGGGATGGCAAGGAAGAACAGGATCCTCCAGCCCTGTGAGACTTAGGAAGGACTTGGGCTACTTAGATAGTAGAGCAAGGAAGAAGGAAAAGTCAGATTTCACATGAGAGAATTCTGGAAGAGGGTCAAGTTTGAGAGGGAATTTGTATATACTTTGGGTATATCAGAGAGCATCATTATTGTCCAGAATGCCATTGGTAATACAAGTCTAAAATATAGTAGTCACATGGACACTGCCAATATGTGGAATTACATGGCAAAGCAATGACAGCTGAAGTACAGGGAGATGGGAAATTGCCCATTCAGAGAAGCAGGAGGCATCTCAAATTAGCCAGCCTTGTTAGTAGGGGAGCTGTCTGGGGAGCATGTGAATACAGGTATGAGAAGCACACAAGTGTAAGGAAGACTGCAAATTGTCTAGAAGCCTTTCAGATTTTGAAAAATAAAATTTTTGTTTTGAAAAAATAAGTTAAATCTTGGGCCAAAATTCATCATTGATTCTAGTGTCAATTTTCAAATATTACAATTTCTTGACTGAGCAAGCAGAGGAGTGGAGAAGGGTAAGAGTCACTGCTTGGAGAGAGATATAATGTCCAAAAAAAGGAGAGAGCTTCTCAGTGCCTATATTCTTACTGAATTCTTTAGTAAGAAAAACCATTTTTGAACTAGATGGTTGTAAGAAAATAAAAGGCCCTAAATACCCTCTAGTATAGATGAGATGGAAGAAGGAATTAAGCTGCTTTGAATTAATCCAGCTTTCAGACTCAGAAGTCATGTCCAGTGCCCTTAAGGGACTTGCAGACACAGTCTCTGAAGAATTTAAAATAAATTTGTGATTTCACGGAGAAGGGAAAGCATGCCTGAAGGCAAGAGATGGATGGATAAATGCTTTAAGCTTCACAAAGGGCTTGCCTTTTCTTGTTACTAATTAAGACACCAAATGACTTGAGGTTTTTCATTTTAAGGGCAGTCCTAGCCTTAAGGATAAGAAGTTAATTCCCTAAAATCCAAGTCTTTGTAAATAAATACATTTAAGCTCATAAGGAAAAATAACAGGGTCACATCTTTATGCTAAATTTCCTATTCTGTTGCATTTCAGGAAAGGATTTTAATATCGTGAGATACATTCCAGAAACCTCTAATAACCTATCAGTGATTTATTGACACCTACAAGTATTTTATCTGAACTAGAGCATAATGGAGCCAATGAATTCCTTTTGGTTGGAGAATTACAAGTATGCTTATCTGATGTGCAGGTGCCACACAGATAACAAATGCCAGGTGCTCATTTGAGATTCAAAACTGTCTCAACAAGCTGAAGCATCAAAGCGGAAGTAGCATGTATTATATATTGATCAGTAGCCCAGGTACAGAGAGAGGTACACACTCGATAACAGCCCAGGTTTTTAAACTTAATAAACTTAATATGGGTCAGTAGTCTGATGGCATTTCCCCACAAACTTCATTCCTTCTATGGCTGCATTAGTGGACCTGTGGTGTTTAAGGACATACAAGGTTATAGTCTCTTTTCTTAGTGCTTATTGGTTCTGACCTTCATCCCTTTCCATTTGCTTGGAGTGAACGTAGAATTATATCTATTGGGGTCCCACACTTCTGAAAGCATGATCCTTGTCTTCCCTAAACCATTTGAAAATAAGCAATCTTTTCCCCCCTGAAACTACTATTCATTGTTGGTTACCTATTTATATTTAATATCATAGTTACTCCCACCCCCAGGCTGTTATAAAATCATAAGTGCTCTTTGCAATTATTGCATTCTTGTATGCAAGGAGAAGAGATAGTCTTAGACTCTACACCCAACATTGAAAACATTAAGCACCTGCATTCTGCAGTTTGAAGCCTGACCCTTACCCCATCCCCAAACACCCCAGTGGGGAAGCTAGGCTACCTCTGACACTCACAAAATTTGAGTACCCAGAATTTTCCTCTTCTTTTTTTCCACTGTCCCCAGATATTGATTCTAAACACAGAATCTTTTTGTCCCTACCTTAGATTAGTGATCTTTTCATGTCAGGTTTTAGGTAAATTTCTG